AGTGTGACTGAGGTTCTGCACAAGCTCAGTGTGATTTAGGTTCTGCACATGCTCAGTTTGGCTCAGGTTCTGCATGTGCTCATTTTGACTCAGGTTCTGCACATGCCCAGTGTAACTGAGGTTCTGCACATGCTCAGTGCAGTTCAGGTTCTGCACGTGCTCAGTGCGGCTCAGGTTCTGCAAGTGATCGGTGTAACTGAAGTTCTGCTCGTGCTCAGTGCGATGACGGTGCTGACGGAGGCTGTGTTGCAGGTGAAGCTGGAGAGCAGGCAGTACCGGGATCCGCAGGAGTTTGCTGCAGACGTGCGGTTAATGTTCTCCAACTGCTACAAGTACAACCCCCCCGACCACGACGTGGTGGCCATGGCACGCAAACTGCAGGCGAGTGCTTACAACACACACGCCCACACGGTCGCTCACACGCTCACACACACACACACACACACACACACACACACACACACTCACATACACCCACCTGCAGTCACACACTCACTCACAAATGTACTGACACACACATGCACACACATTCACATATACCAACCTACAGTCTCACTCACACACACACACACACACACACACACACACACACACACACACACACACACACACACAGAGCTCCAACTTTCACACGCTCTTTCTCAAGTACACCATTTCTAGGGAAAGAAACTGCAAGTCCCACGATCCCCCTGTAACCACACCCCCCTTCCTTCCTCTGCGCAGGACGTGTTTGAGATGCGCTTCGCCAAGATGCCAGACGAGCCCGAGGAGGCGACGGCCCCCCCTCCCCCGCGCTGCACCCCGCCCCCGTGAAGATGCAGCCGCCCCCGGCCCTGCCCTCCTCCTCAGACAGCTCCAGCGACTCCTCCTCCGAGTCGGACTCCTCCACCGACGACCCCGAAGAGGAGAGGGCACAGAGACTGGCAGAACTGCAGGAACAGGTGAGCGGGAGAGGGGGATGAAGGAAGCGGGTGGGGTGGGGGGAGAGTAGGGATATATGGAAAGGGAAAGATTAAGGCAGTGGCACAAGTGGCCCTGTGAACCAAAAGGTGCTCCTCTAACTCTGTTCTCTCTGCATCCCTCCCTGTGCTGTCTCTACCCCTCCCTCTCTCTTCCCTGTGTCCTCTCTGTGCCCTCTCTCTCCCTGTGCCCTCTCTCTCTCTGTGCCCCTCTCTCTCTGTGCCCTCTCTCTCTCTGTGCCCTCTCTCTCTCTCTGTGCCCTCTCTCTCTCTCTGTGCCCTCTCTGTCCCTCTCTGTGCCCCCTCTCTCTCTCTCTCTCCCCCCTGCCCCTCTCTGTGCCCTCTCTCTCTCTGTGCCCTCTCTCTCTCTGTGCCCCCTCTCTCTCTGTGCCCTCTGCCTCTCTCTGTGCCCTCTCTCTCTCTGTGCCCTCTCTCTCTCTCTCTCTCTCTGCCCTCTCTCTCTCTGTGCCGTCTCTGTGCCCTCTCTCTCTCTGTGCACTCTCTCTCTCCGCCTTCCCTGCAGCTGAAGGCTGTGCACGAGCAGCTGGCCGCTCTGTCTCAGCCCCAGACCAGCCGACCAAAGAAGAAGGAGAAGGAGAAGAAGGAGAAGAAGCAGAAGAAGAAGGCAGGGGGCATGCCGGCGCTGGTGGAGCAGGTCCAGGAGCCCCCGCCTCAGGCCCTCAGGAAGAGCAAGATCACCAAGGAGGCTGCGCCCAAGAAGACCAAGAAGCCCAGGTACTCCTCCCCGAAACCCGGGTGTGTCACTCTGCTCCGGGGATCCGACTGCCTGTTGGGTTAACGTGTGGCTCGGTCCGAATGGCGGAGTGTATCGTTAGCGTTTTCCGGACGAACACCACCGCGGGGGACTGTCAGCGTTGCTCCTGCAGCAGTGCGGGAGGCCATTCATAACAAATCTACAGCAGTGATCTGAGGGGAAAAAAAGGGACGTTTTAATTCTGATCAGGCTTATGATAAGACGCATATGGATTTTCATAAAGCCTTTGACAACGTGCGGCGTTTGCAACTGCGTTATTAAGACCGAAGCCAGTGGGACTGGAAGCCGATTTGGGTGTGGAGTGCAGCGGGTTAGAGTGGTGGCATCTGTACACAGGGCTGTATGAAGTGCAGGATCAGCGTTAGGGACCTCTGCTCTTTCTCACGGGTATAACTGATTATTAATAAAGACATCGTGAGGCAGCAGCAGCGTTAAATTGCCGGGCGTTTGAGCACCGATGACAGCAGCGCTGCCCTGCTGCTAACCAGCGTGTAGCAGAAGGGCCTGACTCACTGCTGTCGTTAAACCCGAACACCGATGACACGGCTGCTAACCAGCGTGTTGCGTAAGGACTTGGCACACTGCGGTCATAAATGTCCTTTTATGAGATGCAGGTGAAGCTTGGAGGAAGTTCGGCCGTTGGAGCCGATTCAGGAAGACACAACATGCGTCTTGGATATGTCACGAGGCAGGGAAATGTGTCATCTATATATGTGACACCGTCCTAGATGCTCTCCAGGCTATGGATGAAACAAGGAACCTAGCTGGACTGTATGGCCCATTATTGGTAAACTTGTGTCCTAATGTAATGAGATTGGTTATGGAAGCTGAATTATTGTCTCTATACCTGGAATGTGTGTAGTATCTCTAAAGCCCCAATCGTAAGGCTGTTTTTCTCTTTTAAATGGAAAAGGCCAGTTTCTACGTGTGTGTGTGTGTTGTATGTGTGTGACACTGTGAGTGGGATTATGTGTGGGTGATTATGAGTGTGTGATTGTATGGGTGTGTGTGTGCGCGCGCGAGTGTCTGTGTGTGTGTGCGTGATTATGAGTGTGTGTGTGTGTGCGCACGTGAGTGTGTGCGCGCGTGAGTGTGTGTGGGTGTGGGTGTATGGCCACTGTAGGGTGTGTTGAGTGTCAGTAACACCCCCCCTTCCGTTTCTCCTGTCCTGCAGCAAGAAAGACGGCGTGAAGAACAGCCGGACCGTGGTGCCCCCCGCCCCGGCCCCGCCCACGCTGGCCCCTGCGGCCTCGCTGGACTCGGAGGAGGAGTCCGGGCCGGGTGGGGGCGTGGCGGCAGGCGCGGGGCCGGGGGATAAGTGCAAGCCCATGTCGTACGAGGAGAAGCGGCAGCTGAGCCTGGACATCAACAAGCTGCCGGGAGACAAGCTGGGTCGCGTGGTGCACATCATCCAGTCCCGCGAGCCCTCGCTGAAAAACTCCAACCCCGACGAGATCGAGATCGACTTCGAGACGCTCAAGCCCTCCACCCTGCGCGAGCTCGAGAGATACGTCTCCTCCTGCCTGCGCAAGAAGAAGAAGCTGCCGGGTGAGAGAGAGAGTGAGACAGTCAGTCAGACAGTCATAGCTCCTGATGATCCTGCAGAAGAGAGATTACTGTCCTTGCAATAATAGCACAAGCAGTGTTGTGTGTGTGAGTGTATCCCTGTGTGTGTATGCTGTGCGCGTGTGTATGTGTGTGCACGCACGCGTGTTTCCTTGAGGTGCTGACCCTCTTATTCCCTGCAACAGCAGAGAAAACAATGGAGGTGATGAAGATGAAGACGGGCTCTTCGTCAGACTCGGGCAGCAGCAGTGAGTCCAGCTCCTCTGACAGCGAGGACTCTGAGACAGGTAAGATACAGAACCAGCTGTTACCATAGTAAACTCAGCCTGGCCTCTCTCTGCCTGACCCCTCCTGCTTTCTCTCTGACTCCTCCCACCTTAGCCTGGCCCCACCCATTTTCCCCCTGGCCCCTCCTCTCTGCCTGGCTTCTGCTCCTCTCTGTCATTTTCACTCACTTAAGACACTGACGTGCTGCTGTTGTCTACATTAACACTGGAAATACGTAATATGACAAACATAAAAGATGTTGCTTTGTCATTGAAGATGTGGGTCATGCTGTGAGAAAAGAGGGTTATGGGCAGGAGGAGCATCAGGTTAAAAAAAAGGTTACTGGTGAGTGGGTTGTGAGTAGAGAGGGTTATGGGTAGCAAAGTCGTTAGGAGAGAGTGTTACGGGCATGAGCGCGAGTAAGAGGGCGAGTCTGTGGGTGAAAGGGTTATGAGTCAGAGTGGAGAAGATTGTGGAGGTTATGGAAGCAAGCGGGTGAGTGTGTAAGGGAGAGGGTTATGGGTAAGACATGGCTATGAATGAAGAGAAAAGGTTATGAGCGGAAGAGCCACAGATCGAGAGGGTTATGAGCAAGAATGTCTGGCCAGCGTGTCTGGGTCAGTGGAGAATCGGGGACAAGCGGCAGGTGAACAGGATGAAGCTATCTCCCATTGCTCCATTATCGGGAATACATTGTTCTTGTGTAATCAGATTACTGGCTTTCATCACCAGATGAATGGTGGAGAAAGTGGTGGTTTGGTGAGAGATCCAGCCTCTGTTTGGTTCCTCTCTGAAACTGATGGTGATGTTGATCCCCTGTGGCAGATACAGGGACTTAAACGCACGTTGCAGTGGTACGAGCGCTGGATACTGTCTGTTCAGTTCCGCTGAAATATGAACAGCAGAGTCAAACCACCTGCGTCAGTAGCCGTATAAAACTGGTTTAATGCCACAGTCAGCCTGCTCTCATGATTAGACCTGTAAGCTCATCTTACTGCTGGTGGTGCCATTTTAATTTAAAGCGATTGTTTTGTCAACTGATGTGTGGGGGAAAACCTGTAACGCCAGTTTAAAGGCTTAGCGATTATGCCTGTGTTAACTGACAGAGCCAGATGACACAGGTTAATGTCAGATGTCATACGTAAATTACGCAGTGACATCATAACCACAGACAAACTTTGAATGACATTAGGGCAGCAGCATAGCTCTATTCCCTGTTTGGGGCACTGCTGCTGTACCCTTGGACAAGGTACTCAACCCAGAATTGCCCCAGTAAATATCCAGCTGTATACTTGGGTAGCATGTGAAAATTGTAACTGATGTCGGTGCTCTGCGTTTCAGCAGTCCTGTGCTTCCCCAGTATGCTCTCACATGAAGGCTAGGATTGGTTGACCAGTTAAGACTGCTGTGTACTTGCGTATGTAACATGATGCAGCAGTGTGGTACAGTGGTAAGATGCAGGGCTCATAACCGGAAGGTTGCTGGTTCCATTCCCCGCTGGGA